ATGGAGGAGGAAAGTATTTTTCAATATATTTTCACCTACTTCATAGAGCTCCTCTTGTTCAGCTGGTTATAAATCCTTGATATCAAGTACTGCTCATGAAGCTGGAAAATGGTTGTTGGAGATGGGTTGGGGAACCAGAGAGGAATTTTGTGTGGATTCTGCCTAATCACCATGTTCCCTCACGCCTGTTGGGAACTCTTGCTTCCCCCATGGCCCCACTGTCTTTTCAGGAATCCCATCTGCTCTTTTCTTTTGCCAAATCTGTTAACAAGCTGTCTGGGCTCCATATCTGGAGAGAGCAACCTCTGAGCAGTAAAAGCAGAAGGACAAGAAAGGCTCCAATAGCGAGTTGAGGATTGTCAGGTAGACATTTCCAGAAAGTTCAGCCCTGCCTTCTACGTTGTCAGCAGCATCAGAAATCCTTCAGTGACACCTCCTCATATCTGCTCCTGAACCCAGACACCGTAGCAAGAAAATCAAGGAGTTGCAGTCTTCATGGCTTGTGAGAGAGACCTGTCACTTTGAATAAGTAGGGAAGTTGTGTGTATTTAACCCATCACGGAATGTCAGGGCTAATGGATCCTTGCAAATTAACTAGTCCAAAACCCTCAGTCTAAAAATGAGGTAACTGAGGCTCAGTTGGGGGGATCACTTGTTTAAAGTCACTCAGCTAACCCATTTAGTTATAGGAGTGAGGACTAGAAAAGAGAACTCATGACCTCGGTCTAGTGCATTTTCCACTTTACCATTGCTAAGCAGTTCAAAGCAAAACTAATCATCAAAAGTCAATGATACCACAGTCATCCTTCCAGGCTATTTTCATGCACACTATCTCACTGACCTGCCCAAAAAACCTAAAAGAGCAGCAGGACGGACACCATTATCCCATGCCACCAGGGAGGAAGCAGGCCCTGCAAGGTATGTAATTCAGCCAAGGTCACTGGGCTCATTAGTGGCAGGGATGGGCTGAGAACCCGGACTGTTTTCCACTGAACCAGTGTTTTTACCAGGAGCATTAACAGAACAGCAGATTCTCAGGATGTGAAGAGGTGTTTTGAGGAAAAGAAGGCTTGGCAGATCAAAGAAGTTTGGGAAATGCTGAGTTAAACACCAAGCAGATTCTTCCACGTAGGATTTTTCATAGCCTTTGATACACTGCGGTGCATTGTGGATAACCCTGGGAGTGGGGATGTCACGTGTATTCCCCAAGCGTGTTGGACTATTGTGTTTGGTGAAGCAATCTCACACGACTGGAGTTCCACAGATCACTCTTTGTTTGGGGCAGCCCGATGCACTAAACCAGGGGTCGGCCAACTTTTTCTGTGAAGGGCCAGAGAGAAAATTCAGACTTTGCAGGCCATACAGTCCCTGTAGCAACTGCTAAGTTCTGCTGTTGTAGCATAAAAGCAGCCTTGACGTATAACAAGCGATTGTGACTGTGTTCCAACAAGAGTTTATTAACAGAAGCGGGAGGCAGCTGGCTTTGGCCCTTAAGCCGTCATTTGCCCAACCCTGCACTAAGCCATAAACCACCCAAGACTCTCCTGCTCCCACCCTGATCTGA